AATAATGGTCAAGTTGAAGGTACACCTAGAATTCTAACCTGGTTAACCCAGGTAATAATGAATAATGGTAATAAATTTTAGTGTGTTTCTGTAGTGCAATTCAGAACAGGAAAATGCCTCATCTTCTTCAAAAACTTCATTGTACTCCAGTACATCAAGGGCATTACACTTTCTAAATTTTGGGAAATATTTCTTTATCATGGTTTCCACTACTCCGCCTCTCTCCCCCCCCCAAAAAAAAAATAATCCCCTCTGGTGGCTGCTGCCATATGCTCCCAGGTTGTCTTTCAGTATAATGAAATATTAACTTAATACGTTTTTCTTTTCTGCAACTGGGATATATGTAGAAATATCGATTCAGACCAGGCGAGACAGTATGTCGTTCGTATAATATAGTATTTCATGAGGATGACATGAGGGTAAGTGCACAGGAAAGCGAAATATTTATGGCCATGCATGGAATATAAAGATGGATTTGTACATTGGTTAGTGCAAAACCAATGCCTCCTGCATTGCTTTTCTGAGCATATTAGTCACTAATCCCTTTCCCAGTGAATCTTCTTGTGGAAAAGAAAGAGAAATGGTTCTCCAGGCCATTGATTTTCCTGTAACCCAACCTTTTGCAGAAGCTTTTAGAATTTGCTATCTTGATACTGCTGCATCTTAAGCTAAGAACATTCCCCCACTAAAAAAAAACCTGTGGCCCAGTTGGGCTGCTGCTGGATCAGGCCAGTGGTCCATCTGGGCCAGCATCCTGTCCTCACAGTGGACAACTGAGTGCCTACAGAAAGCCCACAAAATGGATCTGAATGCGACCACGCTCTGCCCCTTGTCATTCCCAACAATGAGTTTGAGGAGATAGGCGGAGCATTGCCATAACGGCCAGTAACCATTGTTAGCCTTTGCCCTCCATGAATTTGCCTAATCCCCTTTGGAAGCCATCCAAGTTGGTGCCCATCTGCCGTCCCTTGCGGGAGCTAATTCTGTAATTTATGCGGGTGGCGCTGTGGGTTAAACCACAGAGGATAGGGCTTGCTGATCAGAAGGTCGATGGTTCGAATCCCCACGACGGGGTGAGCTCCCGTTGCTTGGTCCCTGCTCCTGCCAACCTAGCAGTTCGAAAGCACGTCAAAGTGCAAGTAGATAAATAGGTACCGCTCCGGGGGAAGGTAAACGCCGTTTCTGTGCGCTGCTCTGGTTCACCAGAAGCGGCTTAGTCATGCTGGCCACATGACCCGGAAGCTGTACGCCGGCTCCCTCGGCCTATAGAGTGAGATGAGCGCCGCAACCCCAGAGTTGTCCGCGACTGGACCTAACGGTCAGGGGTCCCTTTACCTTTATGCACTGGTTGAAGAGGGCCTGTCTTTTACATGTCTAACATTTAGCTGCATTGGATGGCCCTGAGTTCTGGTATTAAAACGGGGAGAAAAGCTTTACCCACTTTCTCTATCCCATGCATAATGGCATACACCTGTATTGTGTCCCCAAATTACATGCCTAGCTTCAAACCCAGGTTTGAGTGTTAGGAGAACTCACTCCCTGCTCTTCCCTTGGACCCAGAGACCCTGACTCATTCCAAACCAGAGATACCCCTTGCATCCAAACCAAGGAATACTGGTCCAATATCAGTTAACTAACTAAGGGAACAACTCGGGATTTGATTTGAGTTTGCAGAGCTGAAGAAGTGGCACAGTCGAGCAAGTGCAACAATTTCCTCTGTCAAATTGAACAAATCGAAGCCTGATTTCTGTGTAGCACAGCCTAGCAATTAAGTTTGTCACCTTAGTTCCCTCTGTAATAAGTGCCACATTCGTGGGGAGAGTTGGTCCCCGTCGCCAAAGGATGTTACAAAAAATAGGAAGATGCCTTTGATTTCCATTTGTATAGGTTTAAATTGTGTTACATGGGGTAAATCGGCTATAGGACTGCTTCCAGGAACCAGCCAAAATGGGAGCCAATAAATGCATGCAGAAGTAGGGATGTTGCGCAATCATGCAAGATCGCTGGATTCTGCTGGTGGTGATTTGCTTTCCCGTTGTTGCTTGTGAAGTCGCCCGTATAGTTCTTGGTGTTTTTGGGGTGGGTGTTGTTGTTGTTGTTTAGTCGTTTAGTCATGTCTGACTCTTCGTGACCCCATGGACCAGAGCACTCCAGGCACTCCTGTCTTCCACTGCCTCCCGCAGTTTGGTCAAACTCATGCTGGTAGCTTCGAGAACACTGTCCAACCATCTCGTCCTCTGCCGTCCCCTTCTCCTTGTGCCCTCCATCTTTCCCAACATCAGGGTCTTTTCTAGGGAGTCTTCTCTTCTCATGAGGTGGCCAAAGTATTGGAGCCTCAGCTTCAGGATCTGTCCTTCCAGTGAGCACTCAGGGCTGATTTCCTTCAGAATGGAGAGGTTTGATCTTCTTGCAGTCCATGGGACTCTCAAGAGTCTCCTCCAGCACCATCATTCAAAAGCATCAATTCTTCGGCGATCAGCCTTCTTTATGGTTTGGGGGCGGGTAGATGAGAGCAAAGCTGTGGTCCAAGCAAACCTGTCAGCACTGCCTTGCAGACATGCTGCAGTTTGTTCCTGTTCTTCCAATTAAGGGAAGCAAATGGCGATATTCAAATAGAGGGGAAGGGAAGTACTAGGCAACCTTTTCCCTTTGATCAGATGACAGCAGCGTTTTGTTTTCTGCTTTTTAAAACAGGGGATTTGCCTGATTAGCTAGCTCTTTAAACCCAGAGCAGAAGCACTTTCAGCGGCGGGTCGGGCATCACAATTTATTTATTTATTAAAAAATGGAGAAAAGCAACGTGCAATTTCTCACAGCCGGAGATTTGGCTCAAAGGTTGTTTACACACCCTTCAATCCAAACGGGAAAGACCTTTTTTATTTGATCATCTCTGCTTCGGGAACAGGTGTGATGTTGCAGCCGCCTCCAGCACAAAAGCCACGTTGCAGACCTGAAACAACCAGCAGCGCCTCATTAATATTAAAGCCAGGAGACGATCGTTAGTTAGTTTGTTTTGTATCGCCTACTGGGAGGTGGGTTGAAAATTTGCGGCATTTCTCCCCTGTCTTACAGCAATCTTGAAGCAGCCTTCCTTAGCCAGGGGCTGCTCCCCTGGATGGACCTCGTCTACCAGCAGCCCTGGCTAGCATGCCCAATGGTCTGGGGCAGGGGTCTGCAACCCGCGGCTCCGGAGCCGCATGTGGCTCTTTTACACCTTTGCCGCGGCTCCGGGGCGGATACTAGCGAGGGGAGGAGGCGCATTGTGCGCCCCGACACTCCCCACTGTGGCAGGCGCTGTACTGGCTGTGACGTCGCATGGGGGCGGTGCGTGCGTTAGTCATACACCGTCCCGACGTCACCTTCCCGCCCGCCCGCCCGCTACATTGTAAGGGGCATGTACGCTGGTCACTGCATTGAAAGGGGGCATGTACGCTGGTCACTGTTTTGAAGGGGAGTGAAGAACACACACACACACAAAAGGTAACTTGTTAATTTAACGTTTATTTCTATGAGGAGGAGTAATTCTGAGGGGTCAAACAAAGAAATAATTTTAAAAAGTGACAAAAAAAGTTATTTTTATAATGACGAGTTTTGCGGCTCCCAGTTTTTTTTCCTTCGGAAACGGGTCCAAGTGGCTCTTTTTGTCTTAAAGGTTGCAGACCCCTGGTCTGGGACAATGGGAATTGGGGCCCAGCAATGCAGGGAGAGCGTGGGCCTGGAGAAGATTATCTCGAGTTGCAACACTCTTTGAAGTGTGTGATGAAGAGCCCTGGTAGATCAAGCTGTTGACCTGTCTTGCCCAGTGTCCTGTTCTCACAGTGGCCAACCAGGTGCCCATGGCAAGTCTACAAGCAGGAATTGAATGCAGTTTCTTGCAACTGGTATTTTAGACACAAGACTGCCCTTGACATGGATGCAGTGAAAACCCTTGGTTAGGGAATATCATAGCAGGAACCAATTCTCAGGATTAGGCTGAGCCAATTCAAGGATAGGGCTGGCCGATATAGCCATATACAGTGGTACTTTGGGTTGCAGACGCTTTGGGTTACAAACTCCGCTAACCACTTTGGTTGCTCCAGGTTGAGAACTTTGCCCCAGGATAAGAATGGAAATCGCGAGCAAGCAGGAGGCCCCGTTAGCGAAAGCACGCCTCAGGTGAAGAACCGTTTCAGGTTAAGAACGGACCTCTGGAACAAATTAAGTTCTTAACCCGAGGTACCACTGTATCATCCAAAACAAGTCTGAAGTTCATATCAGCCAATCAGAAGCTGTGATTTGGCTTTCAAACATTTCGGAAGTCGAACGGACTTCCGGAACAAATTCTGTTCGACTTCTAAGGTATGTTTATTGGGAAATTATTTGATTTGTATATCAGTAAAAGTGTTACAACTTAAAAATAAAAATTATTTATAACGATACAGCTCTCCATTCAGAACAATAACAACAACAATAATAATAATGGAAACATATACAAAACATATATGAAACCATAATAAAACATCAAGCATTAAAAACTTCCCGATACAGGGCTGCCTTCAGATATCTTCTAAAAGTTGTGTAGTTCTTTATCTCCTTGACTTCTGATGGGAGGGCTTTCCACACGGAGGGCGCCACTACCAAGAAGGCCCTCTGCCTCCATCTTTCATCCTGCTGGGCAAAAGGCGTTATTACAGTTGAGGGATGCACTCCACCCACACAAAAGTGTTTGAGGAGGAAGCAGTGCAGGGCCATTGAGGGGCGCAACCTGGGGCTAGGGGGTGTGGCCTGGGAAAGGGCGTGATCCAGGAAATGTCCCAAGGGCCATAGAGAGAGGGTGGCATTTGTCTCCTTTTCCCCTTCCCTGGTCCTTGCTGCAACCAAGCAAGCCTCTGAGGCCCAAACGAACATACAGACCTTCAAGAACTCTGCAGCCTCACTCCCAGGCGAAGAAGTTCACTTCTCCAAGGCCTGGAGTCTGCGACACAGTCCTTACTCACAGCTGCTTGTCTTCTCTGGTTTAGGGCGATGTCACGGGTGCTACATAACCATGCGATGACTCACAGCATTGTCTACGTGATGATTCAGAAAAGCTGCCGTCCTATATCCACTTAAACCTGTAAGTAAGCCTCAGATGAGCTCAGAGGGGACTTAGCTCTGAGTAGGGTTGTGCTGTGAGATAACTGATGGGGATGGCAATGGGAATGTGCAGAAGTGTTCCTGCCTCTCACGATGGCCATTGATAACCTTAAACCCACACCCCTTAATCCTCCACACCAGAAAACCCGGATAAACCCAGGGTGGCAATAACACATTGACTTGACTGCAGACACGCAGCACTGTGAACTGTTGAGCACATGCTACTACGCATTCCATGTGGCTGGATATTATCACATATTTATTTATGCCCTGTTTTTCTCTCTGACAGGGACTCAAGGTGAAACAGTTAAAAACATGGGGGTGAGGGGGACAATAACTAAAATAATAATGAAGCACTTGTATCCCAGGCCCTAAGAGATCTCAATGCATTCTCTACCCAGCATGGACTGTTGATCCTGAGCATTGTTTGCTGTTTCCTGCGCGCCTTGCCTGCTTCCTATCTCATCCTCGCATTGCTACACTGGAATCCTAGAATCCTCGACTCATAGCGTTGGGATCCTGAGGGTCATCTAGTCCAACCCCCTGCAAAGCAGGAGTCTGCGATGCAGGACCCTGAGATAAGGAGTCTCATGCATGGCAAGCACGTTGCGTAACCTTTCTCCTTTGACGATCACTCATAGCCGAGTAAGATTGTCTTCCATGAACACGGTCTTAGCAGTGGGTCAATAAGTGACTGCGGAGGCTAGTTCTGGATCCACATGTCCTTCCACAGTGGGGACATAGGTTTCTGGGTGGGAGTTGATCACGGTGAGGGTTTGTCAAGTGTGCCTTCCTCTTAGCACGTTTCTCCCTTGCATCCTGAGTTTGAGTGTCTTCAAAGCCCATGACACCTTTGGTAAAGGCTGTTCTCCAACTGGAGTGCTCACAGGCCAGTGTTTCCCAGTTGTCAGTGTTTATACTACATTTTTTAAGATTTGCCTTGAGACAGTCTTTAAACCTCTTTTGTTGACCACCAGCATTACGCTTTCCATTTTAAGTTCGGAATAGAGTAGTTGCTTTGGAAGACGATAATCAGGCATCCGAACCAGCCCCACGAAGTTGATGTTGAAGAATCATTGCTTCAACACTTGTCATCTTTGCTTCTTCCGGTACACTGGCATTAGTTCACCTGTCTTCCCAAATGATATGCAATTTTTTTTTTTAATGGAATCTTTCGAGGAGTTGTAGATGCCGTTTATAAGTGGTACAAGCATACAGTAAGGTTGGTAATACAACAGCTTTGTAAACAGGCATTTTGGTTTCCCTGAGAATGTCCCAGTCCACAAACACTCTGCACTTCAGTTGGGAGAAAGCTGCACTCACAGAGCTTAGGTAATACTGGATTTCATCATCAATGTTGGCCCTTGTGGAAAGATAGCTGCCCAAGTAGGAGAAGTGATCAACACTTTCCAATGTTACACCGTTAAGTTGGATTTGTGGCACTGCAGAGGGGGTTTTTGTGCTTGTTGGTGCAGCACTTTGGTTTTTTGGATGTTGAGCAATAGGCCAAGCTTTTCGTAAGCTTCTGCAAAGCTATTTAGGATGGTTTGGAGGTCATCCTCTGAGTGTGTACACACTACATTGTCATCAGCATATTGAAGCTCTAAGACAGAAGTTGTGGTAACCTTATTCTTTGCTTTCAGCCTTCTCAAGTTAAAGACCTTTCCATCTGTTGGATATATGGTTTCTACCCTGGTGGGGAGTTTCCTTCCTTTCAACAATGTATAGGATCAGGGAAATGAAAATAATGAATGGAGTTGGGGCGATAACGCAACCCTGTTTAACACCTGATCCCACTGTGAATGGTTCACTTTAAGAGCCATTGTTATCTGTGATTGTTGCTGTCATATCATGGAGGAGCTGAAGGATGCTCACAAATTTTTCTGGGTAGTTCAATTCTGCCCACTTTGAAGGCTTTGGCAGGTATCCCATCAGGTCTGCTGGCTTTGTTGTTTTTCATTTAGTTAATAGCTGTACACAACTCTCCTGCTGTTAGCTCATTTCTAATTTGTTTTTGTAGAATTTGTGAGAGGACCTCAGCAGCTACGGGGGAGTTGTGGTTAAGGAGATGCTGGTAATGTCCCAGTGCAATGCAATAGCTTCTTTATCTTTTAGAAGTGTGGGACCGCCTGTTGAGTGTAGGGGGCATATTTCATGAATTATTGGTCCATAGATAGTCTTTGTGGCTTTAAAGAAACTCTGTGCCTTAGTGTTGGCATAGGTTTTTTCTTAGTTTCTATATTTTTGCCAGATGCAAAAAGCATTCCTTTTCTTGTCAATATTGCGTTCAATCTCACTATCATTCTCATCAAACCAGTCCTGGTGTTTCTTGGTTTGGTATCCAATAGTTTGTTCACAGGCTGCAATAATGGATGTCTTTAGCTTGGTCCAGTGTTCCTCGACGTTATCAGCGAACTCCGAAAGCAGTTGGTCCTTAAGAGTTGTTTGGAAGCAATCTGACTTAATAGGATCTTGAAGAGCTTGAGTGTTTATTTTGTGCCTTGGTTTCCTTCCTTGAAGCCTGCATTGAGGTATAATTTTGATAGGCATTGTGGGATGTATTAATCATGAAGGTCTGTCAGCATTTTCACATACATGTCTCCTAATAAGCACATTTTTGCATGCAGTTCTAACATTAACATTTTTTGCACTCATGTTCCCCTGATAGTTTGCATTTCATTTTCACTACAGCATGCATATTAGGTGCCTTTGTTCCTAACAGACGGATTTTTGTACATATTGTCTTACTTGGAGACCTGCACTGCAAAATCCAGAGAAGGGGGGATTTTGAAGCGTAGCTGTTCTTCGGTTTGCATCTTGCTTCAGGAATTGTGAATTAGGTAGTTTCTCATTAAAATCCAAACAAATTAGAATTTCTGCCCAGTGGTTCAGTATCTTTTTATTCTGTCAGGCTTTTATTTTGTGGGGTACACATACAATATTTTTTATGGTTTTTAAGCTGCTGGCCCTGTCCCCTTTATTGCCACTGTTTTCATGGAATTAGAATTTTTATGTGTTGTAAACTGCCTTGAGTGGTTTATTTATACCAGAAGGGTGAGATATGCTAAGTCAATAAATAAATAAAAGTCTGAAATGGATTAGGCGACTCTGCTTCAGAGGGAATTGGGTTAGCATTAACCCAATTAAAGTTGGCGACCCCACAGTTGCAATAGTGTCAAGAGAGAGGCTAGTAAATGGTTTTTATGAAAGTAATATCTAACACAAAGTTAAACACCCAACATCGACGCTGATTAGAGATGGGTGAATCTGTCACTTCTGGTTTTTCCCAGTTTCTCCTTCCTATCTTAAGCTCACTTTCCACATCAGTTTGTGATTATATATGTTTTGAAATCATCAAGAAATTTCACCAGTGTTTGGGTGCATATTTATCCCAATACACACAAGTTTAAAATGCAACTTTGATTAATTTGTAAGCTGCTTTGAGGTGGGTTCCCCCCCCTCCCCTGCAGTCAGGCAGTGTATATATTTTAAGAAGCAAACTAATAGACTTTTTTTTTTTTGCAAAGCATATTTTCCTAATACAATGCATGTCATTTTCACAAATATGTGCTTTTCGATGTGCACTTCAATCTAGTCTTCGCATTGCCGTACACACCGCTTGACTTGATAACTTTACTGCAAGATCAGGAGAAGCACAGATTTCAAATGATGACTGCGTTTCAGTTTGTGTATTGTTTCAGAAAGTGCAAATTAGGCAGGTTCACCACTAAATGTGAAATGAGTTTAATTCCGCCTCTCCCTGCCGGTCTGTAGTGCTGATCATAGCTAATAAAATGGCCGAGTTGGAAGGGAATCTTTTGCCCAACATGGGGCTTCAACCCACAGCCTTCAAATTTAGAGTCTCATGCTCTACGAACTGAGCTGTCAGATGCTGTGATACTCAATAGGGTAGGGTGATACCTTATTCTCAACATTGTGATATATCACCAGCTAAACATTGTGATACACTGATAAATCAAAAGGAGCTATGTTGGGTGGCTTCACGGTTTTCCCCACATTGTGATTTTTGCATAGCACTCTCTCACACACACACCAGGATTCACAATATATTGCCAGGTCAAAAATTATGAAAACGATATCGCAATATGGACTTCAAACCGGTTTTGAACGATATTATCAATATATTGCCCAGCTGTAATACTCAACCATGTTAGAGGTTAGCTGGAGGTGTTTACATGGGAGAGGAAAGGCTGAGAGGTGTCAGGGGGTGACTCCACAGAGAATATCTGATCTTTTAACCATTGTTAATACCACGTGGGTAGTGCTGTGGTCTAAACCACTGAGCCTCCTGGGCTTGCTGATAGGAAGGTTGGTGGTTCGAATCCCTGTGATGGGGTGAGCTTCCATTGCTCTGTCCCAGCTCCTGCCAACCTAGCAGTTCGAAAGCACACCAGTGCAAGTAGATAAATAGGTACCACTGTGGCAGGAAGGTAAACAGCGTTTCTGTGCACTCTGGCACTTGTCACGGTCCTCTGTGCACCAGAAGCGGTTTGGTCCTGCTGGTCACATGACCTGGAAAGCTGTCTGTAGACAAACACTGGCTCCCTCGGCCTGAAAGCGAGATGAGCGCAGCAACCCCATAGTCGCCTTTGACTGGACTTAGCCGTCCAGGGGTCCTTTACCTTTTACCTTACCATGATATCCTCCCCTCCAAAAGTAAAGGCAGATGTGTATGGAATGAAAAGGCTTTTGCACAAGCTCCAAGACAGCCTCAATGTTTACCATTGCTCCTCGATGTCTTAATGTGCCGTACATAATCCTTGCCCATTTTGATTTCCTCACATCCTGTCCTGGAATGAACTGGAGATGCTACGATGACAAGGACTGTGGGTTCTTGCAGTGTTCCTGTGTTTATCTCCCGACATATGGGAGGGAGCACGGTTTTGACCCCCAAGCCCACACATTGGGAGCACGCAAGTAAACAAGCTAGCTCTGAAGGGTGAGAGCATTAATTGGAAC